GGGGGACAGGGCAGTAAATGGTTCTGTGATAATAAAATTACCTGACCTCAGCAACAGCAAAATACTGAGAAAAATCTGAGCACAAAGTAGCCCAGAAAAGAGGTCAGGATTTTTGTCTAACGGGGAACAGTGTCGCTTACCAATTAACATATGAGTGAGAGAATTGGGTTAAGGAAACCTGATCAGGTAGATGGCCACTGTGGTTTCAGGCTTATTCTTTCATGCTTCCCAGCTTGGAGAGAAAGTAAAAGTCTCTCGTCCAGTTTGTCCTGAGTGCTTTCCCAGAAGGACAAATCCACCTTATGTTGTTTATAGTCTGTCTTTCTAGTAGAATGACAAACTCTGACCTTGTCAGGCAGCCACCGTGCTATGGCCAAACCAGAGGGGAAAAAATGAGTATCAACTGTTTGGGGGAAAAATAAGGGGAAATAGTTCAGACTGTGACACAATTTGAGTTCTCTCTGCCTTAGGTCAATCTCAATTTCAAGTTTTCAGTTTAAATTAAATTTGTTTGGCCTAGTCCAGGGTATCTGTAGAGGAAGTTTGCGTTTCAGGGCATTATTATTTTGATTAATACTGCGTGTATATTTTGAAAGTGAAGCTGTTCATATATTCTCCTTGCTTGTAGTAATTCTGCCAAAAAAGCTGATTTACCCTGGGAGAAAAATCAGATGATTTCTTACTCAGACTGTCAAAAATAACTTGAAATAACTGACAGCTGAAAGAAAACAACAGTCAAGGAAGACAGGAGACTTCATACACCATAAGCCCTAAAAGACACGGTATGGGATACTCCGGGCAAGACTGCTCCTCCTGTATGGCACGTTAACGTGTGGCAGTTAGATGCCATGGGCGTATGCATAGAAGTGTCTAGATAGGTCTAATTTAGGACGTAGTAGCTTTGGTGTGTTGATAGTGGTCTGGTACTAGAGACTGCTGACTGAGAAGTTGCCACATGTGCCGGGGTAGGTATCTTGATGAAGTGCTAAAGAGAAGCACTGACCACGCATGGAGCAGAGAGTGTATCGGGAGGTCGTGTTCCTGCAGCCAGGTGAAAGCCTCTGCTGTAAAAATGAATTTGCAATTAAATTCAAAGATATCTCTTGCCTGGCAAGACATGCTTAAGTTTGAGAACTCATTCAACAGCCCTGGCTTCATGGGTTTGTCTGCTTTTAATTCTCTGTTGCTGATTTATTTCATCCTGAACACGCTTGATTTGAGAGATGCACATCTTTACTGGTCTGGGGTGATGGTAAATTCCTTCTGTTCTTGATGCGGAGCTAACAGCTGCTCTGTTAAGTCTGATAAACACTTGTCCAGCTTGGTCATCTTAAGAAGGTTGTGTGCCCTTCCAGCCTGGGTAGGTCAGCCCTGCTGGTAGGGGCTGGGCTCCAAGCTCAGCTGCCCTTGTAGCAAGATCAAGATGATCAACATGATTAAGACAAAAGTTTCCCTGCTAAATGGTAAAGAAAGTTTTAGATTTTTTTTTTTTTTTTGCCCTATCTCTAAACTCTGTCATTTTGTTTATGAAATGTATACTTGTGTTTGCTGTGAGGTTAATATCTTTATCTAAGAACTTATGTGGACCAGGTAGTGTTTCTAGAGAGAGTGTATCGGGAGGTCGTGTTCCTGCAGCCAGGTGAAAGCCTCTGCTGTAAAAATGAATTTGCAATTAAATTCAAAGATATCTCTTGCCTGGCAAGACATGCTTAAGTTTGAGAACTCATTCAACAGCCCTGGCTTCATGGGTTTGTCTGCTTTTAATTCTCTGTTGCTGATTTATTTCATCCTGAACACGCTTGATTTGAGAGATGCACATCTTTACTGGTCTGGGGTGATGGTAAATTCCTTCTGTTCTTGATGCGGAGCTAACAGCTGCTCTGTTAAGTCTGATAAACACTTGTCCAGCTTGGTCATCTTAAGAAGGTTGTGTGCCCTTCCAGCCTGGGTAGGTCAGCCCTGCTGGTAGGGGCTGGGCTCCAAGCTCCTCTGCCCTTGTAGCAAGATCAAGATGATCAACATGATTAAGACAAAAGTTTCCCTGCTAAATGGTAAAGAAAGTTTTAGATTTTTTTTTTTTTTGCCCTATCTCTAAACTCTGTCATTTTGTTTATGAAATGTATACTTGTGTTTGCTGTGAGGTTAATATCTTTATCTAAGAACTTATGTGGACCAGGTAGTGTTTCTAGATGAAAAAAACACCTATCTTTTGGTAACACAAAATCTGTAGATTGCACTGCCAAATAATATTGAATACTACTCAGATGGGATAGACACTTAACAAAAATGATTACTCTGGTAATTTGCACTATAGCTGCCCATTTGTCTCATTTGCAATACAGTGAAGTTGCAAGATTGCTAAAAATGTTTGCAGAATAGATTTTTGATTTGGATATTACCATGGCAACTATGCTCAATACAAAACCAGGTATGACTGAATGTTGTGTCATCTGTGTTAGTCCAGAACAGCGACACTGAAATGATTACTGTTATCCTACTTAATACTGCAGTCTGAAAAGCCATTCCGTCAAGTCTTCCAATGATTTTGCAAAGCGATAATAATCTTTTGGGGAGATGTCGTGACTACTGGGGTGACTAGTGGTGTGGGAATGCCAGCACTAGTGAGTATTAAACCGGCTACTTGGTTTAGAGGCACGTCTTCGGAATGAAAGTAGTAATGACTATGACTAGTGGTTTGAATATCTCCTAGGTTCTTGAAGTTTATAGAATCAAATTAAATGTTTACTAGAACAATGAATAGGAGATTTTTTTTTTTTAAACTCTCTCCTCCCTCCCCGCCCCCATGTTCCTCCCTACATAGGTAGTTGGGTCTGTACAGGTATTGGTTTGAGAAGCTAAGTCATCCTTTATATTGTCTTCCAAACCAGTGGAACTTGAGCTAAGGACAAGCACAACAAATGGATAAGATATGTCATGTGCAGAGGAGGAAAAAAAAAAAAGGGGGCTACTAATATTAAAATGAAAAAATGTCAGTATCTTTCCAGCAGAAGAAAGAAGTGATCACAGTCACATTATGCTATGGCTCAGGAGAAATGAGGAATGCTACCTCCTGCCAACCTAGAGCTTGTAACACAGTCAGCTGGAAGGCAGTGGATGTAAAAGGCAAAAAAACTAATTACTTGTATGTGAAGTTAGTGCAGGTATGATTTATTTTTAAACTATGATAGGATTTAAATAGTATGCTTTCAGAATATCTTTCTCTCTGGAGTATTGTGGTAATGTTACTGCTGAATATAAATCTCAAAGCTCAGATTGCTCTTTCAGTGTGATAAACAGATGAATGTAAAGAACAGCCTGTACTAAAAATGAGCCTAACATTAAAAGTCCCATTTAAGAGCTGACTCTTCTGAGCTTCCCTCAGTCATAAAGAATATTGTGCAGTTGGGTCCTCTGCTTTTCATTTTAGTGAAACCCTGCTTCTAGATCCACCAAGCCTTAACGTCCAAAGTGCTGTCATCTTCCACCAGTGCTATGCAAGCTCATCCCAAAAGCCTACCTCCAGAGTCAGGGTTTGCCAAAGCTTAGCAGAAACACTTTACATTGTGCCTATTTACAATTTGTAAAGCTTCTGCTTTTAAAAATGGTAGGGGGCAAGTGACGTGGCACTGCATAAACAGACCATCACTGTCCTTTTAATACTTGTTCAAAATCTTATGCGCAATCACACAATCTTCTTGAGCAGTGGAGCAGCAAAATGTAAAAAGCCAATGTCACGAAGGGCAGTATGAGAATAGCAAAGGTGCTGGGCTTACGTGCACATCCCTGAGTCTGAGGAGCTGCTGCGTGCGTTCAGCTGATGGCTGCTCAGCCAGTTTCTTTCCCTTAATTTGCAAAGCCTGGGAACCCTGAAAGGTAAGCTGCTCAAAATGTATTAACTTCATTTCTGTCCTAAGGGAAGTATTTTATGCATTAGGGTAGGAATTTTTCTCTGAACTGTGTAATCCTGGTGTCTTTAAAAAAACAAACAAGAAACCCTGAAAACACCACTATAGCACACTTATTCCTATAGAAAAGAATATCCTGTTTGTCTATTTGCTAGCATGAAATTATCAGCTTCATTTAATTAAATAAAAAGCATACAATTTATTCTTAGAGCCTGGGAAACAAGAGCTTGATCCTCAGCAGTGAGTATTTTCAGTATAAGGTCAACTTTCACGATAAAGAACGGGAAGTGGAGTGTGCAAAAGAATTAAGTTTTGTCGGTGACCTCCTTTTTGCATCTTTCAGCCTCTTGAGAAAGAGGTGGGATGTGTGCTAGTAAAGTTTTAACTGTTTCTTCAAATTGCTGTTTGATTACTTTTATCAGCGTCGTGGACTCGCTGTTCCCTGCCCAGGTCTCTCGCTGGCGTGTGGAGACATCTGCTGCCCAACTCTGAAAGTTGACTTCAATCTGCTCACAGAAGGCACTGGGAATAACGAAGCAATCTCGTGCAGAGTAGTACTGTAGGATTAATCTTTTTTCCCCTAAAGGTCAAGTCAAATGCAGCCTTTTCTGGAGATTCTCCATTTTTGTAGTTTTATCTGTATAAAGTAGTTGCAGGTTGTGTTAAAAACAATTTGTCTGGTATGTTCCACTGTTAACTTCCAACTTTGTGCTTTCAACTACCGAGTTAATGGAATGTCCTGGATCGTAACTGCATGTTGGGAGCTAGGTTTGTCTCAAACAACTGTTATGTTAGTGAGGGCTGCCTGGAAACCTTGGTTTTCCTCTGTGATCACAGGAATGAGCCTCAGACATCTTGACTGTAAAGAATTTGGAATGCAAACTTGCATGGTATGAAATTGCCATCTTTGGGGAAGGTGTTAATAACAGCTTGGATAATAATCTTCTGGCATTACCCCTGCAAGGTGGATTTGGCCCTGGGATATGGGAGAGGACTTAGCTGACCCTTAGGGTCCCTATCTGCTATCTCCTAAATCTGTTTCATACAACCTCTGTGTTGTAGAAAGAAGAAGTGGAAGATAACACTGACGCAAACATGGAGGGGGCTCTGATAGCCCGGGACAGAGTCGGGGTGCAGGACTTTGTGCTTCTGGACTCCCACACCAGTGAGACCGCTTTCCTGAACAACCTTCGCAAGCGATACCAAGAGAACCTCATCTATGTAAGTGCTGGGCATGTGGATTCATGTAGCCTATAGCAGGTGAAATGTTTAAGTGTGGCATACACATATATATATAAAAATTGTTGCCCATCTAGATGGGATGCAAACTAAAACTACAGGGGCGGAAGGCACTATCAATACAGAGAATAATCACCTAGCTTTGGTTTCATCGTGCTCTGAGACACATTGCTAGATGTTAGTAGTACACAGCAAAGTGATCACCCAGTAGTAGTCTGTCTGCTTTAGCTAACGAAAATAATAGTCTCAGCCTGCTCTGAGTTGCCTTACAAAGATCCAAACAATATGCAGTAGATAGCACTTCACTTTCCTATTCCCTTACTAACTTTGAAGGCAAGGCAGTGCTGAGTGTGGTATCTGACTTGTATGAGAAGTGCTGAGATGGTGCAAAATAAGATGACTTCATAGCCATGTCCATTTTGTCAGCAGCCCCAAGGTTATACATTGGCTTACAGCACTGGCAAGTAGTCTCTAAACATGTCCTTTGTCTAATGAGGACTGATATTTGTATAACACTAATAGAAAGAATTGAAAAGAAGGTAGAACAGGGCATTTTGATGTGCTGAAAACATATACAAATAAGGGAAAATGTAATGTGTCCTGAAATGTGTTATTTGATCGCCTTTTACAGTCAGGAAGGAATTTTCTCTGTTGAACAGCTGTCTCTGGAACAGACATCCTACTTGGCTTTCCTTCTCAGCATTAGTTATTGGTCGTTTCCAGAGACTTTTGTGAAACAGAGCTGGGATTGTAAGTGCATTATTGTGTTAACTTAAAGTAGGAAAAAAAAAAAATAAAAATCCCGTAAGTGTCATGAAATATCAGGACCTTGTATACAAAATGTAAGGTTCTAAGCTTGCTGTCATTGTCCAACTCCACTCTTAACTGGGCGGGTTTTGGAAGAAGTTGGTATTGGCTTTGAAATAGCGATGTCTGTGGAGGGTTTTCCTCCTGGAGGGGGGGGGTGGTTTCTTCTCTCATAACAATTTCTGTACCATCTTTCCCAGTTGTTCTTGCATAATGTCCTGATGTACTTGATTCCCCTTTTGGGAGCTGTCGTGGTAGTGATGGAACAGGTTTCCCACCTGTATGCATTCTTTTCTCCCTGCAGACATATATCGGTACTCTTCTTGTGTCTGTCAACCCTTACAAAGAGCTGGACATATACACCATGACACAGATGCAGCTTTATCGAGGGGTTAACTTTTTTGAACTGCCACCACATCTGTAAGTAGCACCCTTAAGATTTCAGTTTATACCAATAAATTGGGTTTTGTCTGTGATGCTATGTATTAGCAGTCACTAGGCCTGGTGAATGCTGATATTTCTTATCTTCCTGTAGGTAAGAATGTGTTTGTCTCTGTCTTCTAGCTGACTGTGAGAATAAAGAGGGAACAAAAGGATTGCAGAGTGATGTTGGGGAAACTGTGGAGAAAGAGTTATCTTAAAGATTACTGTCCGGACTAGTGCTCAATGTGTCCTCCTTACTACACATGGTCTAGTCAGACCACTGCCTGACTGGGTCCATGTGCAAGTCAACATCATTTCCTTCAGTTGCCCAAAACACTCTGGTCATCTTGCCTTGTGCTCTGAGGCCCTGCGTCAGTGCAGGCAACCACAGGACTAGCACAGTGCTCAGGCACAGCCTCCACCTGGCCTTCCCAAGAGGAGAAGGAACATGAACTTCTGAACTCTGAGCTGGAATTTTTTTTGCTAGTTGGAAGTTGTTGTGTGGTTTGCTGAGTAGGTTTTCTCTTTTCTTTTTTCTTTTCCTTCCTTAAGTGGCATATTGGTGAAGGCTCCACTACTGGTTATCTTTGTATCTGTCTCTATCAGCAGAAGTTGAAGTCTTTGCTTTACTGGAATCAAAACTGGCTCCTCTGCTTTGGAAGAGGGAGTCCCTGCTGTGTATAAACTGTATTCACCAGGAATACATGCAGCCTGTATAAAGCCTACAGCAACAGTGGGGAAGAGAACAATCCCTGTCTGTCCCTCAAATACAGACTGGGCTTTTACTCTGAGACCTTGAGTCAGACTCATGTGTTGAGCTGTGATTTCCCATCACTCACACTACTGGTAATGTTAGACGAGGAGTTAGTCCTTCTGAAAAACCTTCGATGCTCTGCCTCCTGTTGCCGTTTCTAACGGATGCTTCTCCTCTGAATACTTCTTGTGATCCTTGTTCAGATACGCCATAGCTGACAATGCCTACCGGGTGATGTGCAGTGAGTACAACAACCATTTCATCCTCATCTCTGGGGAGAGTGGAGCTGGGAAGACGGAAGCATCCAAGAAGATCTTGCAGTATTATGCAGTAACCTGTCCAACTACAGAGCAGCTGCAGATTGTCCGTGATCGTCTGCTACTTTCCAATCCTGTTCTGGAGGTAAAAAATAAATAAAGGTACAAAATGCATTTTTGGCATTGATGGCCTCACTCCAGGAATGGCCTTCTGTTTTACATGATTTTGCACCTGCATATGTAACATACATAATAACATACATTCAGCCTCTTGGCAGCACAACCTCTGAAAGGATGCTTGGGATTGAATATCACTTAATGTTGAGAAATTTAAACTTGGGTTTTATAGTGGAGGATAGCTGAAACCTGGGCGTACAAGGAAATGGTACAGCATACAACCGTTCTTTGTGGCTTCAGTTATGGGTCATACAAGAAAGAGCGATAATTTGTTTAGCTGAGTTCCACATTAAAGCTAGGGAAATACATTAGGTTGGAATCATAGAATCATTTACGTTGGAAAAGACCTTTAAGATCATTGAGTCCAGCCATAAACCTAACACTGCCAAGTCCACCAAGTTTGTATTTCTTTAATCCCACTAAATTCAGCAGTAGGACTCAGCTGATGCAGCAAATCTCTGTTTCTGGAGCTTTGTCCTGCTGTGGGTGTCAGGCTCTCAGTAAGATGAAGTGACTCAATCTATCTGTTTATCCATAGGCTTTTGGAAATGCAAAAACTCTGCGTAATGACAACTCAAGTAGATTCGGGAAATACATGGACATCCAATTTGATTTTAAGGTGAGAACAAACTTAATGGACCGCTATTAAAACAAGCTGTATCAGTGAACCTCTTGGACACTTACCAGGCAGCACAGGATTTATGAAGACTGACACTGCAGACTTCTGACCCTATTTTTACGGGCATTGCATTTTGCAAGTAAAGTGACTAGCTATACATCCTGAAAGCTTCCTACATTACTGGTGATACTGCCAGTGCTCTGTAGAAAGCTAATATAAATTGTTATAAAGCACAAGTTACACTAGAAGGACAGCAAATTCTTTAGATACAGCTTGTGCTGTTGTTGGATGCTAACTCTTAAACACAAGATGGCAAATAAGTAACAGCAGAAACATGTTTCTCCTGACATTGCTCCTTGTTCCTAGGTGCGGAGGAACAGCTGTCACAATGATGTTGTTTATATCTGACTGCTTTGTTCTGCCAGGGAGCTCCAGTGGGAGGGCACATCCTCAGTTACCTAATTGAGAAATCCCGAGTTGTCCATCAAAACCATGGAGAAAGGAATTTCCATATTTTCTACCAGTTATTAGAGGGTGGAGACAAGGATCTTCTTTGCTGGCTTGGGCTGGAGCGCAACCCCCAGAAGTATGTGTATCTCATCCAGGTCAGTGAGAGCTTGTCCCTAGCTCTGTGTCTTGCATCTAGAATTGTAGGGATTGCGACTGCAGCTTTCTTCACTTAAGTGTGCTGCTGAACTCCTAAGAGAATGTGCTGTGTGTCACATCATAGCGAAACTCGAGTCAGGCTGGTTGCAAACATATTTGCTTTGGGGTTGTTGGACACTGTTGTGCCCTGGGTGCTTTTGTAGCAGGAACGGTTGCAGCTGTTATGGCCTAACGATGCACATAAGTGGCTTATAAGGGGTCATATCTCTTATTGGGTCAGCTGATATAGTTGTGGGGACAGAAAGAAGCTTTTGAGCAGCATGACCCAGTGACAACAAGGCCATCAGAGTTTAAAAAAAGTCACTTTCATCAGGTCTCTTATTGATTGTGTATTCCCCGTGTTCTGTGTGTGCATGGAATGGCGTGCTGCTGCTGTGAGAATGTAAACACTCTTAAGCAAATGTCACCAAACCATTCGATGACCCTGGTCCCTCTGGTATGGTCAAGACACTTCTTGATTCATTGAAAAGAGCAGTCCGAGCTACTAAACAGCAGAGTTGTATCTGTCTGCAAGTTACACTTTATACAAAGGCATCTCTTCTAATGCCCCTGTGTGAGGACCTGGTATAAAATGAGTTTCTCGGGATTTATGGACCTCATTATAGAGATCCATAGATATGGTTATGCAGCATACAGCTCACTTCGTGGTAGTGCTCTCAGTTTCCTTTCTTCCTTGGTGGTGAAGAATACTTAGGCAGAAGGTATTATTACCATAAAAATGGAAGATGGCTGTAAGCTCAAGCGCTTCACAAGACTTAGCCATTTTATGGTAGTGACTATCCAAGCTCAATGCTTTAAGATATCTGAAGCTTTAAGTATAAGCTGAAAGATCTGATCAAATGAGCCCCTTTCAGGATTAGCAGGAGTGAAATAAATTGCTAGCTAGTTGCAGACTTCATCTATACAGGCTGAGGAAACTGGAAATGAAAGTAGTATGCCCAGTAGTATGCTATGATTGTTGCTGATAATAAAATTGCTTTGCCAATTATTGGACTAATTCATCTTTCTTTTACTGCATAGGGTCGATGTGCCAAAGTGTTTTCTATTAATGACAAGAATGACTGGAAAATAGTCCGCAAAGCTTTTTCTATCATTGACTTTACTGAAAAAGATATAGAGGTATGCGTGTTAAAAAGGGACTGAGCCTACCAAAGGGAATTTAAGTAAGGAGTGCGCTGCTGCCTTTCCTTAAAAATTATGGAAGCAGTCTTGCTTGGGAGAGGTGTTAAGGATGGAATAGGACATCATTTGGGGGGGACTGAGGGAGTGGGTGGGTGAAGAGCTCTATCACTTGGTACAGCATGATGGCAACTGGCGGTAGCATATCTCTGAAGCAGGTTGTCTGACTCGCCTCCTTCAGCCTAGCCAATATTCTGTTTATTAGCATGCATAGCAAAGATTAGTGCCGTCCCACGGAGCTGTAGGAACCTGCTTTCTAATGGTATATCTCTTGTTATTAGCATCTCTTTGGAATTGTTGCTAGTGTGCTGCACCTCGGGAACATTCAGTTTGAAGAAGACAGCAATGGACATGCCATCATTCGTGACGGCACACAGATCAAATGGATTTCAAAGGTATCTCTTCTGAGATAGTGTCAGTATTACAAGTGCTACGAAGAAAGCTTTAACGTTGCTGTGTTTTCCTCTTAAGGACAAAATAATCTGTTCCCAAAAGCAGAAGGATTGCTATAGAAATACCCAGCTCTTGTTACAAACTATCTTGAATTATAGGGCCCCTTTTCTCTGTAGCACATCTCTCTGAAACTTCCTTACTTATTGTTGCTGAAAGATGAGTATACCTGAGATCTACCAAGGCTGGAATCCTCCTGAAATGAATGGGAATGGATTGGAGGGGTTATGCCTTACTGGTCACACAGTACTGCTTATTTAAGCAGTCTCCTGCTGGCCATACTCTGAATGCAACTGTTTCTTTTTCTGCAGCTACTGGGTGTGCACTTGTCCATTCTGCAGGAAGCTCTCACCCATCGGAAGATCGAAGCCAGATCTGAAGAGGTATTGCGTAGTCACCCCAGGCAGCTGAGAGTCACCCCAGCTAGTGGTGGTGACAGATCAGGAGCTCTGTTCTTAGCAGTGTTACAGTAAAAACAGATCACTCTGGCTGTCTCTCTCCTCCGTATTATCTTCCTCTTCTAGCCTGAGACGTTAAACTAAAGCATATTCCCATTATGGGAGTTTTACTGCTGAATGAGGTAGTAATTGCTAAAAAGCTAGGGACTTGCAGGCAGCCCTGTGTTTGAGCCAAATTTCCTTTTGTTCAGTCCCTGGAGTGCTTCCTGGGAAACTGGGCCACATAAACAAAGAAAAGCACTGGTAAAAACTGTTCTTTGAGCATTTTGTACCAAGTTTAATAAAATAAAACTAAAAGGAAGTCAGAATACTTCTCCCCACTTGTCTAAATTAGTACTCTCCAAAGCGTAGTATCATAGTCCTGCTGGCATATGGTCATACACCAGACTGAAGTAATGCTGATGGTAAATAAAGCTGTAGGCAGCCACAGTTCAGATAGGCTGAGTGCTGTGCTGTGGTGTACAACAACATGGCTGGTTCTCCAAGCCACAAGTGTGAACCGGCTTTGCAGAAGCTTGTTCTGATCATCTGTGGTGTTTATCATCTCCAGTATATCTTTATTTTTAGGTCCTAAGCCCATTGAATGTGGATCTGGCATTCTACGCTCGGGATGCAGTAGCAAAGGCAATTTATGGACGAACTTTCACTTGGCTGGTCAACAAAATTAATGGCTCTCTAGCCAACAAGGTTGGTTTCTTGTCTAGTGTCCTCCTAGACACTGAATTCTCCTAACGTGCTGAGCAGAGTTTCTCCAGTGAGGCTCTACAGCACTCATCACCAAATATCTTAGATGCTTGGTAATTGAGGTAGGGGCATCCCACAGCACTGAGCTGGAAAACTGCTTAGCTAGGTGTGGAAGGTGGTATGTTAAATAGTGTTAGCAGTTCATTACCTGCTTTAAAGTGGCTACTCCCTTGGCACGTGATATAAAGCTCTCAAAGAGAAAGTTTAAAATTTAGGTGAAGAAAGCAACATGAAACATGCAGGGAAGAATCATCAGCTGAAGCAGCAATTACAGAGCAATGGTGTCTTTAACAGGATTCAACTCGGAAAACAGTTATTGGCCTGCTGGATATCTATGGTTTTGAAGTGCTGGACACAAACAGGTAACAACAGCTCCTGAGGCATGGGGTAATGCCTCATGCTGGTGGGGGCACGTGCTGAAGTCCTACGTGGCTTCTTGACTGTACTCTTACCCTAGCAAGGCAAGCTACAGGTGACTGCACAATCTGAGTGCACTGGGTTAGCTGAACCCCCTGGTGAAAGCTTTAGCTTGGACTGCTTGCCTGGACTCGAGTCATTGGTGCAACAGTGTGGGAGGAATGTATGGGTTTGATCTGTATAGAAGTGGGCTGGCTGGCTGGAAAACAGTAGGTAGTGGTGAGAGGAGTAAAACTGTCCATGCAATAAATAAAAATTAATGCTTATTTAACCACTCTGAAGCTTTGAGCAGTTCTGCATTAATTACTGCAATGAGAAGCTCCAGCAGCTGTTGATTGAGATGACCTTGAAAGCAGAGCAGGAGGAATATGAACTGGAAGGAATAGAGGTAACTCATTATTTTCCCCCTCCCTTTTTTCTTTGAACTGCCATTACACTGGATGCTTTTGATCATCAATGAAGAAGACATCCTGCTTTTTTCTTTTTTTTAGTTTGCATTGTTCATGTGGGAAGTGTAAGACAGCCACAGGTCTCATTCTGTAATGCTTTTTGCAGTGTAATTTAGCCTAGATTTAATTTATGTTATTTAAGAAAGGAATAGGATATTCCCCAAAACTCAAAAGGTCAGCAGTGACAATGTCCATGTGGAAATGAGGAGCTCCAACAGTGTAAGACACTGGATGATGGAGTGCACTAATGCAGAGAACAAGATCTGGGCTGCTGGAAGCAGGAAGACTGTAGTGTGGGGTGAGGGATCAATGTGCTGTCACTTTTTCTCCAGCAGCTTGGTTGGTCCTAATTTACAACACTGATGTTCACTGGGATTGGAGCCTGGCTCCAAAGAATTTAAAATGTAAGGAAAAGACCTTCCTCTAAAACCTTTCTTCCTTTTTTTTTTTTTCTTATTTCCAGTGGGAACCAATTCCGTATTTTAACAACAAGATCATCTGTGACCTGGTTGAGCAGAAGCATAAAGGAATAATCTCCATTCTGGTAAGAACAGAATTTGTGCTACTGAAATTAAAATGCATGCCTGTGCCCTATTGCAATGGTCCATAAATGTATTTTTTCCGCTAATTATGTGATGGGTCTGCATTATTCAGAATGTAAACAAATAGACCTTGTAAACAAAGACCCAGAAGATTAAGGTAGAGGACCTGCTTGCTAGAGAGCTGTGTGTTTTCAAGGTGGTATGCTGCTTCCACAGCAACTCTGAGTGCTTGAGAAGGCAGACCTAGGCCATTCTTTCCACTTTGTGCCTGGAGACACTAAGAGATAGAAGGAAGGTACCTGCAGCAACCTGGCTGGCTATAGTCGGCAACAGGGATGGGACCCAGGCTTCTTCAGCATACCATTAGGGAGACTGCAGAGCACCGGGAGTGCTTCTCCACAGCCACCTGAAGCCAGACATCCAGGCTCTTGTAAAGATGAAAGAGGACAATTCATCCCGTCTAATTGCTTACGTGACTTGCTAGCCTTGATGTCTGATGCTTCAGCAGGGCTCAGCTCCTGAGAGCTGCCTGCCTCCTCCTGAGCTGCAGGTCTTCCTCTTGTTTCCTTGCCCTGTAGTTGTTGCTGCTCTTAAAATACTGATCTGAAGAAGCTCCTCTTTCTGCCTTTGTAGGGATAGCAGGAGAAATGGGAGAGGCTGAAGGCAGCTCCCTACAGAGCCTTTAACAAGGAGCTTGTTCTGCAATGCTGAGTAACATTTTTCACTTCAATTAAGTGTGCAGTTCCATGGGGAAGAGTCTGAGCACACAAGCTAACTACTGTGATGATACTTTCTTGAATGCAAGCAAACCCTAATTAGTAAGAAATTGAGTAATCTTCCTGTAGAGACTTGTAGCCAGACTTGAAGTTGAATTGTCCCTTGCCACCATCTCTGACCTGTCTACAAAGCTAAGAATTTTTATCACCTCAGTACAGGAGGCGAAGGATTAGTACATCGTAATCCAGAGAAAGTGCTGCTGAAGCTCAGCACTAGCTTCACGTTGCAATGGATTGCTCTTTCAAGTAGGGCTTTCTACACATGGTACAATTGGAGGAGCAGAAGGAATTGTGTTTCTTGGGTTAGAAAAAAGTCTTCTGTAAGGTTGTCTTTCCCCCTCCAACTCTGCAACTCATCCAGATCAAGAGTCCTTCAGGTCCTTCTAGATTTTGGTGTCTAATGATGTCATCTTTCTCACTGTTTTTGTTTAAATGAACAAAAAATAATAAAGGATGAGGCAGGGCATTGCCAGATTGGGGGGGGGGGCGGACGGAGGGACGGGGAAAGAAGCCAGATCTGGCTTAACCTGATTTATCTTGACAGTCCTACTGAAAACAGATAAACGAAGCTCTAAATTTAACTAGGAAATTGCTTTTATAAAATAGAGCTCATCTCAAATTGTAACCAAGCTCTTTGGTTTTGCATAACAAAGTTGTACTAAATGTTAGCGAGGAGGGAGTAGTCTGTTCAGAGCAGCGTTTGATCTGGTGTCTGCTGTTCCAGGATGAAGAATGCTTACGACCTGGTGAAGCAACTGATTTGAGCTTCTTGGAAAAGCTGGAAGAGAAAGTAGGAGATCATGCCCACTTCGTGACGTATGCATTTACGCTCTGTATCCTATCACAGAGGAAACTCTTCCCATCTCTTGCCCGTAACAGAGTATTGGGAAGGGAACAATTTTTGCTTTGTACCAAAGAAAATCAAGCAGCCCATCCGCTGCCTAATGTTGTAATGTGCTACGCTGGTAGAGTATGACCTGGGGTATTGGGGAGGTGTGGTGGGGATTTCTGTCTCTTTACTGGTGTGATGCTGATCTTTGAGTCATTCCACACTAAAATTAGGGACTAAAGATTAGATGGCTTTGGCCCATGAAGGTTAGATGGCTTTGGCCATAGATGGCTTTGGCCCCCATTGACTCCAGGGAAAGCTGAAGATATTGTGAAGAGGAGCCTAATACCCTAGGCTGTGAGGGGTACATAAATATTTAAGTCCATCTTGATATGTGTGAGGTTTGAGTATGAAGAGGAAAGAAGCATGCTCCTGCTTGAAATCTCCCAGATGAGTGGTGTTTTGGTTAATACTCAATTTGTAGTATTTTCACATTCAGTTTTGGTGGCAGATGAACACGTTGGCGCTGGGCTGTTCTGGCAGTTCTCAGCAGAAGCCTACCGAAAGGCTTTGACAAGTCATCAATTCAGAGTCATGCTGCTGAATTGTCACCATTTCTACATTTCTGAAGTTCATCACAGCCAAGTGGAAAATTTGTAGCCAACTTCCTTGTCACCACAATGTGCCTTAATACTGTTCTGCCTGATTAAAAGCTTTAAATAGAAGTGCTACAGCTACTTAAATGGGATCTGTACTTGGCAATACTCTTGGAAGGGAGCTTTGATGTACTAATGTGCTGTTGTGACACACAACTCTGCTGTTAGTGACTGCGTACAAAGCTGAAACTCAAACTGTTAAGTTGCTCTTTTTTTTTTTTCTTCCCTTTTTTTTTTTCTTCCCCCCCCCCCCCCCCCCCCCCCGAGTCCTTGCTTTCTAAAATTTTCCTGCTATTCTTGAAAATTTTGATTCCTCCTTTGTATTTGGGTTCTTGCTCTAGGGCAAAATATCTCAAACAATCCTTCCCTCCCCGGTTTCACTTTGAAATTGAGTAAGCTGGTGATCTATTCCTCATGTAGGCAATAAGAACATATTTACATGAATGTTATGGGAAGAAACCTTCATAATTCTGGAAAGGATGATCATTGCCAAATGGCAATGGATAGGTCACAGATATTCTGAGGAGTTTATAGTAGCTGACTCCATTCTCTGCTGCTAGCTGTTCAGAATGGGCAGATAGATGATAATTTGATTATGGGCAGTAACTGTATAGTCAGAGCCATGTCAATAGGAACAAACATTAGATTTCCAGTTGTCCTACAGCTGCTTTTTGTGCAGGTGACTTTCTACAAGCTGAGGAAGTCTGTTTGCTGCTTTTTCTTTTGGTGTGTTTGTTTTTTTTTTTCCCTGCAGTCGCAAGCTTGCAGACCAGAAAACACGGAAATCCATTGACTGGGTGGATTTCCGCCTCCTCCACTACGCAGGAGAAGTCACTTACTGTGCTGTTGGTGAGTGTGAACAAAGTGCCAGTCTAGAAGTTACCTGACCTTTCAAGCCAATGTGGTAGATGGTAACTTGGCGGGAAGATGAATTACAAAATATCTGCCCTCTGAAGGTACTGTTACTTGGAAGTTGTAAACGTGAATGCAGTGAGAATTTTGAGGATATCAATGTCCAGATTTTGTGCTAAAATGTGTAGCCTACAAAAGAATTAAACCTTTTTTTTTTTTCTTCAGGATTTCTGGAGAAGAATAATGATCTACTATACAGAAACCTGAAAGAGGTAAGAACAAAAAAGGGATGCTGTTCTCTTAGGTTACCTTGCTTGAAGCAGAAATGTTTTGTAGAAGATGTATTTAATCTCTGTAGCAAATAAGAACACATATTTCTCCTTAGCAATGTTCTTTAGGCATTAGGCACCTACATACATGTCCCTACAGCTGTGCTGCTCAAGCTTAGAAGCATCACAGTAGGACTAGCATGGCTGCTAAATAAGGCAGCTTTTCATTTCTCCTGTTTCAGGTGCTGTGCAACTCTAAAAATAGCATCGTTAGAGACTGCTTTTTACTATCAGAACTAGACAACAGGAGGAGACCAGAGACTGTGAGTTTCATCTTTAGTCTTAACTTTGAATATAAACTCAACTTCCCAAGTCTTGATTTAACCACTGATCCTGTCCTTAGTCCTGAATTCAGTGGATATTTTTGCTGGTGTTACACCCCTGCTAGCTTTCTGGTAGTTGAACAATGGTGTTGCTGAGACAGCAGCTAGCAAAGTGACATACCTTAATATTGTTATTAATGCATCCTTCTAAAACAAGCCCTGTGCCTAGCATCCAACAGTATTTAGTTTCTGAAGGGCTGCCTTGCGTGTCCAGCTGCATGGCAGGGGTTCAAATATTCCAGCTAAGCACTCTGTCCAGGTAACTTATGAGTGACTATGCTTCAAAAGCTTTGTGGTACTAATGCATACGTCAGCCTTTCACTTACAGTTTTGAGATGGGTGCAGGTGATGAGTGGATTTCAATTACTGCAGTGAGTTCCAAAGCTAAAAAAGTTCTTTCAATGTCATCTTAGGTTGCAACCCAGTTCAAAAACAGTCTGACAAGTCTTATAGAAATCCTGATGTCCAAGGAGCCTTCTTATGTCCGATGCATTAAACCGAATGAGAACAAGGAGCCTGGTAAGGCATTGGGTTGAAGACACAGTTGAGATAAAGGAATGAAGTAAGGGAGACTTCAGCTAGGTACATATAATATATATTTACCTGTGAATGTGTGTTCTTACTACAGGGAAGTTTGATGATTATCTGATCAGACATCAGGTGAAATACCTGGGCCTGATGGAACACTTGCGGGTGAGACGAGCCGGCTTTGCATATCGACGGAAGTATGACCTGTTCTTGCAAAGGTAAGTGGAACTGTTTTGCCCTCTAGCCAGGTAAACCTGCCCTCCCATGAGGGCTTCAGAGCAAGGTTTGTTTAAATGTCAAGTCCCAGTGATAAGAGATGTGGAGGGTGTCCGCAGACGCTCTTCTGCATCGAAGACAACCTTTGTATGTGTCTTCTGTCTGTATCCATTCTGATCTGCTTTGGCATCTTCTGCCTTGAATAAAGTAGGAGTTTGGGGGGGGGAGAGTTTCAGGAAGGGGTTCCTCAAACATCAAGTCATTTGTGTTGATGTCTTGCTGGTGTTTCAGGTATAAATCACTCTGTCCAGCTACCTGGCCACATTGGCATGGGCCAGCAGCTGAGGGTGTGGAGAGGCTCATCAAGCATATTGGTTACAAGCCTGAGGAATACAAATTAGGAAGGTAAATTTCCTTTCTCTGGCTGTAGTCTCTGCTGCTTGGTTGCATGGTGCTTGGCATATTTGATCCTCTGTCCTGTCTGACTGCAAGTCACCATATGGCCCTTCCTGGAGAGCAGCAAGATGTAGTGGTGTGAACAGATCCCTTTAGCTTGGCTCTTGCTTGACCATGTGAACAGGGTGGACCTGCCTGGGTCTGCAAACCTGACGGCTTCTGATTAGTGGCTTCTTTAAAACAGTCCAAAGTAACCTCACTGCAAAGGTATACAATGCATAGGAGCAAGGAGACAGATAAAAGCCCAGATGCGTAAATTTCCTCTTTATTTTACCTTCCTGTTTCCATGGAAGCTTGAATCCAGCTGAGTTTCTTCTGTCTCTGGGTTAGGGGAGACAGGCTGCCTTGCTTCAGCTCCAGGTCTCCCTGCATGCTTTGGCAGCCAGAGGCAACTTGCCTGTCTTAGGCTTGGGTTCTTTTTTAACTGCCTTTTGCAGCCACTCCTGAACTACAACCTTGTCCTCCCTGCTAAAGACAAGGTATGGGGCAAGGCGGGGTTCTCCAATGTCACCTTCAACCTGTGGCTATCGGAATCCATGAATTAATGTCTAGGATAGTAGCTAGACAAGGAAACCTGTTTTCACTGGGTTTCAGCTGCTTATCCTGAGCTCCACAGCTCCTGGGGAAACTTGCAGGGATCCCAGCATCGACACTGTGTGCTCAGGTGGCCAAGAGGGCCAATGGCATCCTGGCTTGTATCAGGAATAGTGTGGCCAGCAGGACCAGGGAGGTGATAGTGTGCCTGTACTCAACACTGGTGAGGTTGCACCTCGAGTGCTGTGTTCTGTTTTGGGCCCCTCACTCCAAGGACATCGAGGTGCTGGAGCGTGTCCAGAGCAGGGCAATGAAGCTGGGGAAGGGTCTGGAGCACAAGTCTTATGAGGAGCGGCTGAGGGAGCTGGGGTTGTTTAGCCTGGAGAAGAGGAGGCTGAGGGGAGACCTTATTGCTCTCTACAACTACCTGAAAGGAGG